TATTTGCTACTGCTATTGTTAATTAAATTTATGATTTAGAGTTATTTATATTATTGATTTCATTCTAATGTTTTATTCTATGTTTTTTTCTAAAGGCTTGAGAAAGAAAATATCTTCTATAATCTTTAACTTTTTTCATAACAATAATAATAGGAAGAATTTTCATACTTTTGCTTGGTATAAAGTTAACATGCCTAAGCATTGTGGTGGTATTGAGCTATCTTCTTTGGATACCATTGATATGATGTGCAAGTACAAAATTATTTGATAATTCTATAATTTTAATTTTCTTTTATCTAAATCATGTTTTAATCATTATGGTTCAATTTTGAATAATTCTCACTTTAAAGCTTTTCCTTTTTGAAAAGATTCAATTAATATTACTAAAAGGATCAGACATAATAACTTTTTATGTTATCCCGAATGGTTAATTACTCTTCTTTTATGACCATTAGTTTAATGATTCATCTTTAAAATAGAAATTTGGTGATATTATTTTTACTTAGTTAATTCTTTTTATTAATGCTAAAATCTATGATGTCTTAGTAATAGTAGTTAGAACCTTGATCATTTTATAAATGCCCATGAATTATTTATTAATGATATTAGTAATATTTCTATATCTCAAGATTATTTTCATATTTGAAAAAGTGCTAATATTTACCACATAAGTTTGTGTATTTCTATTTATATGATTCTTTCTTAGCTTAAAGGATTTGCTATAAAATTTGCTTTTCTTACTTTAAAGATTATTTATAAAGTTTTTAAAACATGTGATTTTTTATTTTAAGAGGTATAAATATTAATAATCTTTGTGTTTTATGTTCTATTAATATTAAAATCATGATCATCTCATTTTTAAATGTCAGTTTTCTCACAATCATTTTAAAAAATGTATTCCTATTGCACTCTCTAATATTTTTTAAATTTTATATCACTATGAGAATATTTTTGATAAAATGCAGAAAAGATTTTATCTTCTTGCTTTGCAAATTACTACATATTACATACGACATAAAAGGAATTCTAGAATATTTAAAAATAAATTTCCTCCTATAGATTTGATTATTCGTAATATTCATTAGATGGTCATATATGAAAATAGAAATTAAAAATTTAAGAAAATTTATCTGATTATATTATTGATTTTTGTGGATTTTGTTCAAATTATTTATAATTCTTTTTGTTAACTTTGGGTAGAGTTTTGTTGTATTTTGATTTTTCTCATTTTTTTTTCATTTTTGTGTTTGGATATTTTAGGTTTTATTGATGATTTAATGCTTATTTGTTTCTCTTATGGTTTATTTGGTCGAATGGTTGTTATAATCGCACCGTTATTAAACTTCAACTATTTTGAATAAATTAAATCTTTTGAATTGATATTTATTCAAAATCTTGGACTAAATTTTAATCTCTCCTATAAGTTATTTTTGCGCATTGTTTGTTTATCGTTAACTTGAGTTAGTGCAAGGTTCTAGATTATGTGGTATGTTTGTTTGTTTATTTTTCTATTTTTTATTATTGTTGTGTTGTTGTCTTGGTTGTTTCTCTTTACATGCCTCGTTAGCTCACCCATTCAGTTGATTGGACTTTATTTTTGTTGTTCACCTTATTGTTTTTAGAAAGGAAAACCACCGAACATCTCAAATTGCTATCCAACAATAGATTTTGTCACTTATCCCTTCTTAAATGTGCTCGATCACCCTTATCATCCTTTTCATACCCTTCCAAAACTAAGTCCCTACAATCACTTCTCAAACACCTTTTAGAAGCCCTAGAATGATATCATCTTGGATCAGAACCTGACCAACCCTAAATTTTTAAAGGTTTTATCTTTCTTAACCAATCTAAATTTCCAAGAAAAAAAATTTCCATCGTAGCCAAATCATTTCAACTGTAATTATTTGTCCATACCCTAAAATTTTAAAATCTAACATTCTTATCTTCACCAAATTTGACAGTGAAATCTACCACTAACAACTGAGCTCCCGACCAACTTTAATTTTTAATCAATTCTACATCTGTCAAAAAGTTGACCTAGAAAAAGGAATGTCATGCCACAAAGAAGAAACACTTAGCGAGATGTCCAAGAACTCACTACATAGGACATACAATGAAAAAATCCTCCAAATATAATAGAGGCTTGTCATCCATGAGAGAAGAGAAACTAGTGAGGTCACTCATAGTCACAACGATGACTTGCTAGATAGAGAGGAGAAACTGATCCCTTCCATTATATAATTTTTAATGATGAAGAATTGATACGCTAATAATTTTTCATGAAATATTAGAAAAAAGCCAGTATTTTAGAATGAAGTTTGATCTACTGGACTTTGACATTCACATGGATCTAGATAAGTTCATCGAGTGCTCCAGACGATGGAGCATGTATTTGAGTCTAAGAACGTTCCACTTGACACAAGACTCACACTAGTTGTTATTTAGTTTAGGAATAGTATTTCCTTATTGTGGTAGAACTTGAAGTGCCTATATCAGTAGGAAAAAAAGTAAAATTACTATATATTCTAGAATGAAAAAGAGATGTAATGCAAATATCTTCACTTTGTATTAGCGACAAAAAAAGTTCATAAAACCACACCACTTACATTGGAGATATTCTTTTATGGAGGAGTGCATAGCTAGTTTGCATAACTCATTTTGAAATATGAGTTGGTGGAACCAAGGGAGCACACAATAGCGATGCTTCTTGAAGGACTGAGGTTTGGTGTAGCTGTAGCCATATTGGTTCTTACTCGATGTACATACCTTAGCTTTAAAGGTTGAGAGATAATAATGTCATTAAATAACTGCCACCCCCTACAAACACAATTCAATACCATGATCAAGCAACAAGTTTACACCCAATATAGCACCCAAGCTGACCCCACTAGAGGAGAACCGTGCAGAGTGGAGAAAAGTTGAAAACTACCAACACTCCTAAATCTATCATAGCCAAGAAGTGTTTCAAGTATCACAATTTTGAGCACATTGCATACAATTGCCCAAATAGAAAGATGTGCTTCTACAAATTTGACCATTAGATATCTCTCAACAAACAAAACAAACAAAATGTGAAGAGTCCCGAGCATCAAAACTTTTGGTACCCATACAGAGAAAAAGAGGGAGATAAAAAAAGTGTCATCATAGAGAAATTCAATTATTTTAAAACAATATATTATTACTTTTATATTTAATTTGTGAAGAAGCATTTGATTATACAAATGAATACTTTTCATTTGGACTTGAATAATAAATATGTGAAGGGAATAAATTGAGCAATAATAATATCTCATTTTCTACAACCATCATTTTCATAATGGGTGACTGTATTTTTTCTCTTACCTTGATCAAATAGTACATTAGTCAATATATCAAACTTTATATAATGTGAAATTTTTCATGTACCTATTTTAAAATTTAATAGATTATTTGAAATCGATGAACCCATAAATGAAATTCATAGCTAATGGTGAGTTGAGATGCGCCCTTTCTTAATAATTGAGAGCTTTAATTACTATTAGAATTGCATGTGAGCACCCCCAAACTTAATAACTACTATTTTTTTTTTGTTAAACTTAAAATTAAGTTGTAGTTTTTTAAAAAGCTGGTTGTATACTTGTGATGGAAAAAAAAAAAAAACCACACCTTAATTTTTAGAAAATAACAATTAATATGTTCTTCAAATAGAACTGTGGTAGCGATCTGAAACACAAAGCAGACAAAGATCTGTCCTGACCATAAAAAATGTTTGAAATAATTTTTTCATTGCTTTGTAGCCCAAATTACTCAGGTAGGCATGTATTATTATTATTATTTGAAATTTGTTATGATAGAAAGCATTATTTTGCGACTAAATCTAATAAAATATGATAATCATAAGAAAACTATCAATAAGCTTTTTTCTATTTTTATTACACAAGAAAATTTTAAAAACAAAATTATTTTCCACATTGGACCAACAATTTTACACCATCTTAAAAATCTCCAATCACCCAAAGAAACCCAAACTCACCCTTGCGATCACGTCTAAAAAAGCATGGTTTTAAACATCAGATTGAACTAGTTGTTTCGACTGGTCCAATCATAAACTAGTAATTTGGTCAGTTCAGTACAAACTTATAATCATTTTTACATAAAATTAGGATTAAATCGGTTAGAACGAGGGTCAAAACGACGAACTGATGAACCAATTCAGTTCCTAAAGAATCGGTTTGGTCTAGTTTCTAAAGAGCCAATCTGTTCAAATATTGTCAAATTTTAATATTTTGATTTTAATCGGAGGAGTAGAAAAAATATTTAAATTAAACATAAAGAAAATATCACGTATTAAATTTATATTTATAATCTTGTTCAAAATATTAGAAAAAACTTATAATTTTTTATTATTTAAATTATATTAAAATAATTTAAATATTTATTACCTCATATATTTAAATCTCCAGTTCAACCTAGCTAGGGGTGTAAGTGAGTCAAGCTAACTCGTAAACCGGCTCAAGCTTGTGAGCCGGCTCTTTTAAAAAGGTTTAGTATAAATTATATTCAAAATATATTAGAATTAAAAATTTTATCTTTAAAATATTAAAAATATTAAAAAATAATATTTTTAATATTATATTAAATAAAATTTTTTATTTGTCTTCTTGCTCGCCAGCTCACGAGCTCGTAGAGTTAAACTCTAATTCGATAAAACTAACTAGCCCTAATTCAATCTAAAGGCTCGAATTCGACTCGTTTACGCCTGACCTCAACCTGTCTTGATCCGATTTTCGCATTGCTCTAAAAACCATAAAGTTGGCCCGCAATTTCACAGCAACGCAAAACGTGCCCGCGAGCCTGAGTGAGGCGTTCCACTTTCCCGCGTATCTATCCTGATCCATCAATTGAACGACCATGATGTTCTTCCTGCTACACGAATCACGGCGTTGCCTCTCGTTAACCATAAAATCGATCTACAGCCGTCCGATTCTATATGGCTCGTTCCAATACGTTTCGGAAGACCGTCTCCTGCCCATGTGGCTCTGGGCTTTAGATAAATCCCAGTCGCTGTTTCTTCTCCCTCCTCCCTCTCTTGAAACACAGATTCCGGCGGGGTAGGCGGCGGTGAGGGGATGGGGGAAAGCTTGTTCTCGTCGGAGCCGATATCGTTGAGGATGGATAGGAGGTCTCCAGAAGCGGTGAGGTTGCGGGAGGCGATCTGTAAGAAGCTATGGGAGTTCCTCGGAGATTATTCCGACGACGTCCTAGCGGTATTACTTTATCTAATTCGAGCTCTCTCCGGATCCAATGGAGTTGCGATCATTTTTTATCTGTGTTATTTGACGGTTTATTCGTTTATTGGTGAAATTCTGGACTACGGGATTGAATTTTTTTTTTGTTGGCCTTTAGCTGTCCTTGCATTCTAGTCATTAGTGCTTCGGTTGATTCGGTGATGTTACGGATGTTTTTTTTGCTTACTCGCTGGCTGCCGATGTTGCTTTTGATCTTGCCGTAGGCGTTGATGTGCTACTGTTGTTGCTATTCTGGATTGTGGAGAGCTTATAGCTTGACGAGTTATTTTTCTTCGTCTTTTAATTTTTTGGATTGTTTTTTATTCTTATGTGCTGTGTGATGAGTGAACCAAACTTACAATGATGGCATGGGTTTAACCTTCCTAGTTTAAGCTTTGGATTCGTGGGTTGATATTGATGAACGTTTTGAGAGACGCTGTGTTTAGATATAGTGGCTTTGTTCCCTCGGATGGTGTTAGGATTGAATTACTAGTGTTTTATTTTGGATGAATGAGGGTAACTTGGCCTACCTAACGTGATATGAAAGAGATTTCGGAGAGCTAGGGTTTGGTTTAGAACGCTATATCTTGTTGGCTCGATGAGAGGATTTGATGTGGATCCTTTATTGCTGATTGAATCTATCTTACTTAAATTATTTCTCCTTGTATTGAACCACTGGTAGGAGGGTGTGTGAGGTGTGATAGAGGGCTGACTATACTAGAGATAGAGAACAAATAAATATTTGTATACCAGAATTAAAATTTAATGATATATGGGGCTTGCACTAACTCACTTTTATGGGAAGAGGAGAGAATAACAAACTTTTGACTTTTGACACATTTTGAATTTTAAGTAGATATCCATTTGATCCCCAAAACTAGTAAAGTTTATAATCATCATTCAGGCTAAGAAATATGATATTCCTAGCGAGGATAGTAGATGATCTTTTCCTTACCCAAAAATTGACAGCTTAATGGCTACATGAAGATCGTATGGTTTTATATTGTGGCAATCTGTCCTGATAGGACACTTTTTGATGCTTCTAGCTTCCTCTTAACCTGTATATTTTATAATTTTCTTTCATGTAACTTTGCAATCACCCCATGCATCCTTACATTAGATCTCTTGGAATTGCAAATTAGAATCAAAATTGAGGTTAGGGTTCTAACTTTACTTTGGTCTTCTCATTTGATATGCTGCTGTCCTCCACTTGCTGGAAGTTTGAAAACCTTCAATATGAGATTAATGATGAATGATTATTAATGGGATTTTTAATTTCTTCTTTTTGGTGGATAACGAGCCCTTGTCTTAAAACTATTTTGCACCTATGCTACTGGTGTTGAGCTTGCTTGCTTGGTTTAGTTATTCTATTTTTCTCTTGTTTAGATCAACAATACTATTAGGTGCTTTCTTGTTTGTTTTGATAGTGTTGAGATATATTAGTCTTTTTTTTTTTCAATTCTACAGAAGGAATGCCATAACATGTGTTGTTACATGTGGATAAACGGATTGTTTGGTTCATGAAATTTAGTTGCGTTTATAATGACTAAATATTTGAGGACGTGGGTATGAGATAGGTTGTGTGAACATAAGATCTATATAATGCAACAACCTAAAATAAGAGCTTTCTTTTTTCACTTCTATGATCATGTTGGTCAAAATGCTGGAACCAGAGGGTGGTTATAGGGGGCACTCGACACCCTTTGATTTTATCAAACTCTTTAATCTCCTGCAATGCCCAAAAAATTTTGCCCCATTAGCTTAAAAAATTAATAATAATTCAGTATTAATTATATATTTAATTTAATAATCATTCTTATAATAATTTCTAAAAATTTTAGGGAGATGAAAGTCTTAAATTTAAATACTTGCCAGTCCTCCACTTAAGTCATGATTCCAACATTTGTTGGTCACTTTTTATTGGGTTTGAACTTTTAATGGACACCCGTTGCAAATGCAAGAACATGTTGAGGAAGCAATTTGGCACACATTGGATAAAAATAATTCTCTTCTAATTTGGTATTTTTTAGTTCATTTTATCCTTAAAAGTTTAATTTAGTTGTTTTCTCTTTATTACACAGCCTTTTTTATCATTTTTATATCTTGTGCTTGATAGAATGTTGTAGTTATTTATGTACATTACCATTTTTTCTGCTAATAATATTAACTTCTACTTATCACATTCAGTGGTGGGACTATGATTTAAACTAAGAGGGGTGAAACAATTTATCTCAAATTTATGGGTGGAGAACATATATAATTAGCCATAAGAGAATTTATTGGTGAAACTTGCATACCATACATGGCTATAAGAAGATTTAAAACAAATTTAAGTGATGCGAGCTCCATCTACAACAGCTGACTAATTTCACCACTAATTGCATACGTCTCTCCATCTCTCTCTCTCTCTCTTAGTGATGCCATTTAAAGAATAATTCTATCTTTCAACTGTAATAAATTTAATTTAATGCTATTTTAAAGAATGCAATTTTATTTAACATAATAAACGTTCATTACAATATTTCTTTTTTCCCCAATATTTTTAAGACATCAAAATTATGGTAATCAAGATTAATATGAAGTACGATTATGGACCCAAACACAAAATGAATATAGTGATTTGACATAATTGTAAAAAGTAGGACACGAGACGCCATGGATAAATTTTTTTATTTGTTGAATTATGAATATATTAAATTACATAATAAACTATTGAACATTTTTTAAAAATTTTATACAATGATCTTCAAATTTTTTTTGAGTGATTAATAAATTTTAAGTATTTGAAGATTTTCTTAAGACTTGATATTTCACTTAACTTTTATGATTTTATTCAACCTTCAGACTCCCTAAACCCTAAATTAGACGACAATCATTCTACCAAGCGAATAGAGTGGAGCATTTCATTTTTGTTTTTTTTTACATGAAGTTTTATTTCTTGACTTGTTGCATCCCACTCTCACTTCATGTGTCCCCCGATTGTGTTCTTTCAATGTCGCGTCGTTACCATGTTAGAATCCCAATTTACTTTAGACACAGTTTGTTGCGTGTTGGACACGTGTCGTAGCATGTCAGTGCTGTCTCAAGTGTCTGTGCTTCATAGCTAGATAACATTCAATTTGTCTGCTGTTTTTATTACCCCAATTTTAGCTATTATTGTTATTTAAATTTTCTCAATGCCATAGATAACATCAAACCGAACGCCAATTATTCTAAATAACTTAGCATTGCATTAATTGAATATTGAATCATGTAACTCCTAATTTGTTTTACTGGTGCTTTCTAGCAATAATTTGCTACAACTTTTTATTTTTTATTTTCTCCTGAAATGTCCGAAGCATAAAAGTTTTATATTATTTTCTTTTACTCTCCTGTTGGTATTTAAGTTTTGGACAAGCCGTTTTCCTTCGTTGAATTGATTTGCCTTTACTGTAGTTGTGACTTGAATATGATGTTATTGGCATTTTTATGTTTACTATTCAGGATTACATTGTAGTTCTTGTTTGTAATGGCAAGCATCAGAATCAAGCACGTGATGACCTACAGGCATTTTTAGGGGAGCAGAGCGGGACATTTGTAGCTTGGTATTTTTTTACTCCCGACCTTTGATTCTAATTGGTTTGGCAATTTCTTCTCTCATCAAAAGAAGCTATTGATCTCATGTTGTCCTTATTTTTTTCACTTATAAGTGTCCTCAAAGATTTTTAATTTATAATTCTAAGCTTCATTTTGCGTAGGCTTTGGGATTATCTTTCCCAAGAATTCATTTCAAAGGCGACTCCGAACCTCTCTAATCTAGAAGTCAAAGCAACAAATAATCATAGTAACAGTTTGGACAGGGACTATAAAAAGAGCATACTTGCAGACCATGATGCTCAATCAGTTTCGTTATCGAAGGTAGCCATTTGATCTTAAGACTTTTAATTCAAGTAAACATCAAACACTTTATTAGTATTTTGATGGCACTTACCAATTGCTGACTTTGCAGGATAAGAATGGATCATCGGAACAGCCATCATGTCACACAACTTCAAACAACTTTAAACCTTCCCAAATGATGGAGAGACTCCGGCCTTGTTCCCCTAATTTAGATAAACGTTCACTTGCAGTAAATACGGAGAGGTTGAATGTACAAGAGATTGCTCTTCAAAAGAGGTCCGGTTCAAATAATGGTAATTTCACTGCAGATGCAAAAAATATTTCATCTTCAATTACGTGCTCTCATGAAGTTTTATCTGTTGGGAAGCAGTCTTTGCGTAATGAACTTCCAAACCGGAAGGTTGAAGATTAAGCCTTTTGTCTTAGTTTGTCAGACTATTTGTAGAAACAATGAGTCTAACTGCATCATTCCATATTATAGTACAGATACTAAAAAGTGATTCCAGTACTGTACCTTCTCAATGCCTCCCAGAACCTAAGACAGAACAAACTGCAATATGTTTGCGATCTGTTATTGCAGGCAAGAACTTATTCTTAACTTTTGTTGTGACTTGTTAGTTACTAACTGCTTGATTGTTTTGCTGGAATGTTTTATCCGGACAATTTTGATGATTGGGTAGGGTAATCTCACTGTTAGTTTGTGAACGTCCTTTAACCTTGCCACTTGTTCACATATGAAATAATCTGGGCACTGTTTCTTCTTTGTTCAAGTTTGATTTTTGATTTCTGTGCCTTTGCCCATGGTTCATAATGACTCTAATTTGAATCTTCTGCACATTTCTTCTGCAGAAGAGCATCAATTAAGGCCTTCATCCAGTAGAGATTTTTCTGAAGCAAGGCTGCCTTCAACTGCCATGAATGATTTGTCGTATCAAACAGCTCGTTTACGAGGCAATGTTTGGGATAGATTAGGAAAGCCTTGTGTAGAAGATAAGATACCAATTAAAGAAGAGCAACGTGGTCATCTTGATTTAATTGATACTGGAAAGCTAGAACTTCTAGAAGAATATCAAAATCCCAGGTTGACAGGGTTTTCAACTGTAGCTAGCGCAATTAGCAACTTTAATAAACAATCTTATACCATTGATAGAGGTGATGCAGAAACTGTTAAACTTTCTGGTGATTGTAGAACTTCAGATAAAATGGTAGAAGCAAGCACATTAAAAAGGAAGGGACATATGTGTGAGCTTAACAGCAACAATGGCTCATCCAGCAAGGAGAATTTTATTCAAGACAAAGGTTATTCTCAGCATCAACGACAGTCATTTCTTGTCAAGCAGAACCGTGAACAAAGCGTGAACAAGTTTGCTAGAGTAGCTGATAAATTGGTTGCATCTGATGCTAAGATTGATTTAATAAATCCTGGGCCAGACTGCAAAGCCACTGTAGTTTTTAAATCTCAAGTGACAAATAATTCAGTGCCTTTACCTTTGGAAAATCTGGTTCCTGTCAGCACAACGCTGCCAGTTAATTCTAAATCTCAGAGTATAGTAGATGGTGGGAATGCCAACAAGAAGCCTGTGCAAGAAGTAAGGCTTTCTTGCCAGCAACCCACATTCCCTTTTTTCTTGCTATCTTTTACTTTGCACTATGTGTTTTTTGTAGGATGTTCTTGCTGTTAAATCAAGACTTCGTCAGATTGAAATGGATATGCTCAAGCTTCGTTCAAATCAGGTCGTACTGAGCACCGATGGTGGAAAACAAAAATCTTCAGGTTTTCAAACTAGAAAGATTCATAATCCTGACTTTATCTTCTTTGCTGATTATGCACGCATAGAGATTTCTTTGATTTTTGAAGTTCAAATAATTGCTTCTTGCAAGTTAAAAATATGCTTTTATTCTTTCCTGCAAGTTAACATTATGATTAAAAGATCAGATTTAATGTATTTCTTTTCTCTTAAAAATATTCATCAGGGTGAAATTCTTATCAGAAAAAAACTTTTATCAATCAGTGTCTTCTTTATGTAAGTATTACCAGTATTTTTATGGTTTCTTGAACATTTTCGAGAAACTAGTGGAGTTACTTATTACATCAGACTGTGTTTCCCTTTGCATGATTTAATTGCGCCTTGTCAAGTGCTGCGTGCTTATTCCTTGAGGAGTGTAATAATTTGAAGTGAATCACCAGGAAGATAGATATTCGATAGTAAGTGGTGTCATTGTATTTAAGAGAAGAGCAGCTTATTGCTTTGGAAATAACCCTGGGAAAATAAGAATGGGTTGTTTTTGTGGTTAGCCTTAGTTTAACTGTTGTCATACAATCGAGCCTGTCATATAACTAGGACAGTCAACTTATTTTAATTTTAGTTGTCTTAACATTTATTCATTTACATCACATGCGAAGCCTGACAGACTATAGGTTGCTAGCGATGGAAGAACAATGCCTTCAGTTGATGAATAAGTGTTTCTTTTTTTATTTTGCCAAACCTTAAATTGAGATTTTATGATTATACCCATTGCAGTGAGAAATGACAGCTGTAGGTTTGTAGAATGTCATCAGCTAAGGCGGCTCCACGATTTAAATCGATTATGGTTTGTTGGCAATGATTTACCAGGGCATGATACATAAACCAATACAAAACCAATTAGTTTACTTTCTTATTGATGAGGATGCCATCCTGTTGCTAATAAGTTTGATTGAAAAGAAAATCTATAAATTAGTTTTTGAAAGACTTGAATGAACTGCTACAATATCCAGCATAATAAAGGTTGGTTAATTTGCAGTAATGATTTGAATGGACATATATAGGTTCCAACAAGATCGTCATGAGATGATTCATCATATTTATGCTATTTTGAGAAATTATTGAGTGAGACATTTAAAGAAAAAAAAATTATTTAAAATAACATGATGAATATATTATTTAAGTATGTATTGGTGCAAAAATTAAAGCCCAGTTATTTTTGAAGATGATGGATAAAGGCTATGCTTTATGTTTAAATGAGATATCTATCCAAATTCAAAGAGTTATGAGTGATATTGAAGTTGTTTGACCAATGAGTAGATAAGAGAATATCATAAACATTTGAAAGAATATTTTATTGAATTGTGTATAGGCCAGTTTTGCTATCGTATAAACTAATTCAAAACCATCTTTTTGTTTTGAGAAACAAAGAGTAGTAACTATATAAGAGAGTGATTAAAATAGTAACAAAAAGAACTCCAAAAAACCATGAAGAACAAAATGAGGATCATGTTTAGCATGGTGAGTGTCTACATTCATGGGGATACTTAGTTGTTATGTAATTCAATAACTCTTATGAACCTCTCGCTGTTCTAATTTTCAGATTTGTGAAGCTAGCAGGCCTTTTCTTAATCATAACTAAAGACTTGATTGAAAGAATTCAATAAAGGAAGAACACATCTGAAGCTTGAAGAAGAAACTTGTAACAGGGAAATCTTGTGGCCCAAGGAAGAAGACTTCTGCTTAGGCAAACTCCAAACACCATTTCTCGGTGGAAACCCCTTCTCATCTTTGCTCTCTTCTTTTTGCGTCTAACTCCAAAATCTCATTCAAGGATGAACATTATCTCTCCTCTCTTTTTTACTTGTCCAAATTGAGAAATCTTTTGGATTGCTCTTTTTTTTTTTTTTTCTCCACCTGAGGAAAATTGGCATGGCATCAGACTTTAGGGATATACGAAGAATGGGGGTTTCTAAAGTTAAAATTGAAAGATGGTGAGATGTATTTTCGATTTGGAGGAAATGGATCAGAGCCATGCTTGTTCGAATGAAAGTAGCTAAAGCTTTCGAAGGGAAAAGAAATTGGCCAAATTCTTTTGTCACAAATGAAAGGCCGAGATTATGGTGTTAGCGTTTTAATAATTTGGTGTGCATTTGAATGGCAAGGTGTTTTGTGAGGTTGATTAAGAAATGAATGCTATAACAATTTGGTTAAAAGTATAAGATATATATGAAGAGGAACTTGCAAAATATGGTTGTTGTAGGTTTTTGGTTAAACTTATAAGATATACATGACGAGGAACTAGCAAAATTGAATTCACGATGAAGGAAATTATTTGGAGCATAGAGGATAACATAAATTATATCAATAAAATTGTCATTGATTTAGATAATCTTGTTGTCAAGGTGACGAAGGGGATCATGTTATCATGATTTTGAGTTTATCGCCTAAATTTTATGCACATTTTGTTGGACTAAATTTGCTTGATGAACTCTACTAATAGAAGAGGTTCAAACACTTTTGAATGCCACTGAGATGGAAATTGTGGGCTTTGATTGTACCCTGGACTGTTTTTTTGTTTTTGTTTTTTTGAGAGAGTTTTGAGTGTCAATATTTTCAGATTGAAGATTGAATTGTAGATAAGAAACTATCCAGAGATTTCACCCTCATTTTGTGAGGTCTTATTGATCCGAGGTTCGAGGTTTCCAATATGAGCAAGCACTATGATTAATTGACACTCTCGATAATATGAGAACATTTTTAATTAAGGCTGGTCATTTAACAAGAATAATCAACATATAATTCCAACAAACATACATTTTAAGTGGTAAAATTTATCACTTGGAGCTTAAAGCAGATGGTGGGAGAAAGATGACGAACTCAATCAAGATCCAATAATTTCGTTATCTCGGGTTGTTGTGGTTTCTGATCTACTTAGTTAACAAAGATAGTCGACCCAACCTGACTGAAAAAATCTTATCAACAAACATGAGTTTATGTCATCCAAGGGACTCTTATAGATATGAGGTGGAAGTTTGTCTTAGAGGACAAATTTAAGGCGAGCTTAGTTGACAGATGTTTTGTATCAATCTATTGTATCCTCATGATTTACCACTCTAAGGATAGAAAATCGTTGGATAACATGCATACTATGATTGTAATCATAATATAATGGTGTCATTTGAAAGCAACCACTCGACCGAAAGGTTTTGGTCGTAACCGCTATTTCTTGGTGCTCTTTTGACGGTAATATAGGTGACTGAGACTACATTCTTAGTGGCATGAAATTACTTTGAGTGTGAATATAGTAGTACACTCCATGACATTTACTCTTTATGAGCTGAAGTCAATCAGAAATTTGTCACCCTCGAAAAACTGTTGCGGAGTGTAGACAGAACTTGCTTTAATTTTTTATCGATTGATTTTAATTTGGAAGATTTGATTTCCTTGCTTTAGGTCTTTAGGTAATTGATTTTACTTTAAATTTCTTGATTTATTATTTTGATAACTTGATTTGAAAATTGAGTTAAACTTTGACCCATCCGGTTGAATCTTCTTTTTACTCGGCAATCATCGTGAATTTAAACATTTAAAATTTTTATATTGAAGTGCAGTTGAGTTTGCTAATTTAGGCTTTTTAAGATATAAGTTTGGTCGACTCCTGTTCTTTTCGGGGGGAGGATCGAACTAGGTGATTTGGACTTGCAAATTCTTATATTTATGATTTGGATGTTTATTGTTAAATTTATTAAACTTGCCAGCTTTAGTCCCTGTGAGGAGGATCAAAGTTGTTGGGTGAGACTTACAACTTTGCACTCTAGATAGGGAGGCCCGATTAAAAACTTGCATAATATGTCTTGAATTTGATTTCAAAATATAAGGAGTTTTAACTTTGGAACAATTATAGATTTTCTCATAATTTTGCATGCTTATTAAAGCAAAAAACAGTTGAGTGTAAATTTAGCTTTGATCCGCGCAACATTTTCAAACCATTTAAGTTTAAACATTTAATTAGTTTGACAGAGCACATGCGAGATTTAAATTTCATATATTTGAATAACTTAAATAATTTAATAAATTTTGAAGACTTGCACATTCTTTAAATTATGAACTTAATATGAAATTTACAGTAAAAGACGCATGTAAGATTTTGAGATTGTGCATACTTAGACTCACATTTATAAATATTTTAAAACACATATAACTAAGTGGTGTCTAACTTATCATTCACAGAAGTCTCAAAACTACACTTCAAAGTTTTAAGACATTTCATTTGACTTGAGGAATACCCATGAAGTTTGTATAAGCTTTGAATACCTTAAAGCTATTTTCAACGATAAATTTTTATTTGGATATTATCTTATTGGAGTGTATGTAAGATTACATGTTTGAGCTTTAAGAGGGACCACCTTCTGTTTATTAGCGAGTGTATTGCGAATCTAGTAGTGATACTCTAAAGTTTCAAAAGCCCAATTTTTGAATTATTTTTCATCCCACGGAGTCCAAGTTCGAAAACAAAATTTTGAATTGATTTTCAAACCCTAGGAGCTAACTATGAAATGCTTAATTTAAAATTTGTTCAAGTCTTATGAGCTTAAATTTAAAAGCCCAAATATTATATTTCTTAAGCTCTGGGAGTCTATATTTCAAAAGCCCAAAATTTTAATATTTTTTAAACCTTAGGAGGCTAAAAATTAAAAGCCTAGATACAAAATATTTTTGAACCATAAGAGCCTAAATTTTTAAAGCTCGAACTTTCAAAATATTTTTAAAATTTAAATGATTCATATTTTATGTTATTTTTTTAAGTTCAAAAATTTAAAAATTTTAAATTATTTGTAAGTTTAAATCACACAAACATTTGGCAATCATCTGGCATCAACCCTGTTAGGAGGCATCACGAGAATGTCAGCATTCTCTACTGTCTTAAAAGACTCGCTGGTCAGCCTCGTGAGACACTATGACTAGGAAATAAAATGTGTATTTAACCCGCGGTCTTAAAAGATGCAACATGCTTTCAATGTACTTGCAAAATAGTTTCAAATTGCAAGTAAGCATTTTCCTAAGCGGTACCTTATTTTTCTTGAACTAGACTTAATTCTCAAGAACATGTATTCATGTTTTCCCGGATGGGTATCTGAAAATTTCTATTTTTTATAAAAATTTTCCTAATGAACCCTCGATTTCCCTGAATGACACTTAATTCCCAAGGATGGATTCCTGCGCTTCCTCAAATGGATATATATCAAATGGATATATATATATATATCAAATATCTATAATCATTTGTTTTGGCTTTTCTTATTATAAAAGGAATTTTAAATTCTTGCTTTTGTTGCTCATCATGATACATATATATATATATATATATATATATAAATTGCTTGCTCCATCGCCCCATTTTTATACCTTTTTTGAGCGAAATCGGAGATGTTGACGATCGACGAAATAAGATCGGCGAGGTGACGGCAAGTCAACTTTCTGATCATTTTTATACAAATATATAACATATAATAATAACGAAAATATTAAATTGGGGAAAGAAATTCTCAGTTTTGGGTAAAATTAGGTGGATTCATTACAGTCTTTGTGTGGAGACGAGGTGGAGGACAAGCTCTGTATGCCATAATCTCGTTGTTGCTTTCCTCTCTTGCCCCCTGGTCGCAATTGTATTGCCTGAACAGGGAAGAATCACTAGAATTTCGGTCGCAGGTTGTGTAGTAGAGAGGGGAAATGGGGAGTTCGAACCAGTCAACCCCTGCATCTCGTTTGACAATAACTTTTTGATATTTCAAAATTAACTTGAGGAGCTCCTTTTCCAACTTAGTGCGTTTGCCAGTTGTGTTTTACATTGGTGGTTACGTTTTTATTTTGACATGCCAAGGACTAGGTATCATCTGTATAGCTTTCCTTGAGGGGACAAGAATGCAACTCTAAATGACCTTCAGTGCCTTGCACAGAACTCGGACAATGCTCTTGCTCGCCTTTATAACAAAACCCTTGTCCTGTATGAGTCCTACTTCTTTGTAATCCTGAGAGCTAGTGACATCCACAACTTTTACAACAAGAATCTGCAAAGGTGCCGATTGTAGTGATCCCTTCATCACTTTTTGGTGCTCCAACACTCCACAGAGCATCCACAGACGTCCGAAAGGCCGCGAACTATCTCCTAGCACGCACGGTTGATGGTACGGAGATTCATGCAAGCTGGCAGACAGCAACGCCTCTGAAGACCTCTCAAAGAAGCCTCCAGAAGCACATTTGCCTCAGGGAAACGATTTGCTGGGTGGGTTTTCATTTTCAGTGGGAGGCATGCGAGAATTACAGGTGAAAAATGTGGAGAGAAGCAACAGTGAGATTTTTTAGGAGAAGATAGGGTTTTTGTTCCAATTGAAGAGGGAGACCTTGTATGACGCATTTTTGGTTGGATGAGGAAGGTTTTGCGGGAAACGGGAGGTGCGGGAAAGGAGTAGAAAGTATGGAGTTTCAGTTGTGGTTGCATGCTGCAGTCTCGGAGTTGTTTTCCAGCAGTCGAATCACGACTGTACTGCGAAGGTTTTGAGCATGAGAGGAAGAAGGGCAGGAGAGGTTTTCTGGCAGGGTAGAAAGAGGAGAGAGAAGAATTGGACGTGATAGATAGAGAGTTAGGTGAATCGAATTAGGGGGAGGAGAGGAACCAAATCAGGGATTTAGGTTTTCGTCCAAGAAGAAAATGGAGCGTGCAGTTTTGCGAGAGACTCAGGCAGGGAACAAGGGCTCCGTGAATTATGCTATGCGAACTGAATGAAACAGTAGGAACAATTACGGGGCGGGAGTTGTTAGGGTTCTAATTTAATTAGTTATCTCTCTTTTTTATTTCATTTTAAGCATCAACAGAAACAAATAAGAAAAAGAAATCGAAGGAGTTTGAGGTGTCAGTATTAGAGGTAGATTGATCAAATTTGAAAATTGGAAAATTGATCAGGTTACCACGTTTAACACACAGGATGTTGTAAAGTTGATACAAATCAAATATAGGTGAGTTGATAGCAGAAATGATAGTATTTGTGATCATCAGGGAGAAGCTGCTACTCAGGAAGATTTAACTGACTTGGGAAAGTACAATCCAGTAAGAATTGAATGGGAAACGGCACCTAAAGCACTTAGTTTTGTTGATTTGCCTCTTTTTGTTCCTGTCGCCGCTGCATGATTGCTAAATGAACTGAGATCATATAAAGAACGAATGAATAATGATGAGTGTTTTTTGGAGACAAAATATGCATGAGAAAATGGAATCACCGGAAAAGATTAGAATATCTCAACTTGTTGAAAAACTGCAGGGTAAAGGAATTGTGATCTGTTAATTGATGTTGGTCCTACTTATGAAAATAGGACTAGGACAAAAAGAGCAAATTGCAGGGTTTGTAGATTTTGATCGTGTTGGGGCTGGATAAAAGATCATTGATTGGTTTACTTTTTCTTGGCATTTGGAAAGATTGTGAGCTGGAAGGAAAGTTTGCAATTTATTTTTGCCTTATGAACTGCAGATTTGGAATATATTCCTTCTATGGAGGCAAGAAAGGAAGATATGTGATTGAAAGGTTGCTAGATGAACTTAAGAACAAAGAAATAAATACTGTAAACTGATGTGATAGTCAAACTGCCATGCAATTAAGATTGAATCAAGTATTTCATGAAAGGATATGATGTAGCCAAGATTATATGATTAAAAGTTGTGCAAAAATATTTGCACAAACTTGTGTTAACACCTCATGTAGAACTTAATACGATGAATGGCCGAAGAGGAATTGTAAAATGATGCTGATGATTTAAATCCTGCTTGCTAGTTTTCCAAGCATCATTTGCTTTTTTATTAGTTCACCATCCTCCCATAGGGATCAAACATACAGATACTTCTCTTGTCTGTTTGTTTGGTGGCATCAAGTACTTAAGGTGAGTCATCATTATCATTGTGTTCATTGTGCACCTTATTCAAGATAGATGTGTGATGAAAAAGTTATGAGAGTTTGTGCCTTATTCTTTAACACGTCTTCATATTTTCTTCAATCTGAACCTGAAATCACTTTTCAACATGCTCTGAGCAGTCTTCTTAAGCTATATTATTTGTTCACCGGTTGTGGCTCACTGTTCTCAAATCTCTTTTATCATATTTAAATTTTCAGTTGATGAAGTTACAAGTTTTTCTAATTCTAGTTTTTCTTAATGCAGTTTTGCAAAATCTATCCAAGGAAGTTATGGAGTCAAGGACAGTTCTTGTGGCAAATGTACACATTCCATAATTAACTGTAATCATGCATACAATTCCTTGAATTCTAATAGTTTCCATGAAGGATTATGGCAGAAATAAATATTATGTTGTGGGACTAAATTGTGGTCTGATCTGCCTTAGCATTTTTTTTTCAGACTTTCTCGCTATAATTTTACTGTTTCAGTGGCGTTGCAACATACCTTAGTCATTATTATTTTGTTGAACTGAGATACTAGATTAATTCGTTTTAGGAAATCTTCTCATCTGCTGAAATGGTTTCATACAAATAATCTTTGGATAATCATGAACCCAAGATGAGCATTGAACAGTAATCTTGAAACTGTACGTTGTGATTTTCTCAATAATTAGATACCACATTTTGGAGTGTGCATGATTTGCTGGAATAGTTTTATTTCGGATCCTAAATATCATGTAATCTGTATACAGTTTGATTGATGGAGTAGGAAAGAAATCATCGAAAACTAAACATGATTGATTCCTATGGTGCTTTAGGAAAAGAAAATCGTGCCAGCAAGCATTATCTTTATGTTTTGCAGTATAAAACCATGGCGTTGTTAAATAAAACATTATGGAGAATGCAGTTTAAATGTGGCGCAGATATGGGCCTATGGTATAGTTAATCAACAACTTTTGACACAAACCATAGTTTGAAGTAGATATAGCGTTGCAATGATACCTATTTCTTTTTTTGTAAGGCATAAGTTATCTTTCAATTGTAAGATGCAATATTCTTGGTAGGTTTTGCTACTTCCATGGTTTGTTTACTGTGATAATTTTATTTTCCATAAAATACTTCTGAAAAAAAAATTGTTGATTTCGTCATATTTTCTCAGGTACATTTTGCTGCAACAAAAGAATCTTTGGTTTCACACTTTGGAAAGTGCGGCACTATTGTTAAAGTTATAATGTTAACTGATGCTGTAACCGCTTTGCCTAAAGGGTATAATTTCTATTCTTTTGAAAATTGATGTTTTCCTAGTTATATTTATTATAAAAAAGAATCATTTCTGTTGTTTCCTTGGTTTACAGTGCAGCATACATTGTTTTTGCAAATAAGGAGTCAGTTGACAGGGCAATTTCCCTGAGTGGCACCTCCCTTTTCTCTCGGATTCTTAAGGTATGATTTGGGCAAAGTTAATAACTTAACTGAGAAGGAAGTTTTACATAGATACCACCCAATTCTTATGCATTTACATATGAAACTTCTTAACTTTAATCTATACATGTGCCACCTTACCTATGGATGACACTATGTATCACTTCTTAAAATAGTAATATTTTTTATGTGGTACGAAAGATTTGGGTGTTATAAATGTAAAAAAGGTTAATTTCAGTCTTTAAATATGTAAATACATAAGAATCGAGTGGTATGTATTTAAATGCCCCAACTGAAAACACAGTTGTATTAACGGAATGCAAACAAAGAATATTTGTTGACGTATTCCGTGTTGTCATCTCCCTAAGGTTATTCGGAAAGCTGAAGTTCCTCCAGATTTCTTGGTTCCGTCGCAGCCTGCTCTGAAGCAACTACAGCCATTTTATCCTCAGCCCTACGGGAAGATTCCTGTGCAGAAACCACCCACAAGTTCTCATCTTCAGTGGCGGCGTATCCCGAGCTCCGCCGGAGAGAGCTCTTTAACCGCGTCATCAAATGGACGAGGACCATCAAATTCTGTGGGGTAGGATTCCTAAATTAAATTTTATGCAGAAATCTTTGATAGAAGCGTATCAATAATAGTTTAGGAAATATAAACTGAAGAGGTTATATTAGTATTGTCTTTCAGAGCAGCTATTATTTGACAAAAGGTTTCTGGGACAAATGCTAGAAATATATTACATTTTGGATGAATAGTTTATTATTGTTCAAATCTCGCGCGGCTTCTTTTCCATGTAATGATTTAAAGCCTTGTGCTTTTTATCGAGCCCGTGCCATTCCACAACCGGATGGAGCTTCTGATCAGGAAATGCGTATTTAGATGAATTTGAATTTTACTTTTATCATTAAATGATAAAGTTGTGTAATTTGCATGAATGTTTTATTTCAGCATGAAATAATGATTTGGTAGTATGAACATGTGTAGTATGTTTAATTACTTGGATTATTGTTTTTGAATAAGATTATGCAACTTTGGAAGGCTTATTGGGGGGATCATAGTGCTATGTTTTTAGTTGTTAAAATGTTGAAATGTAGGGAACTTTTCTTATGTATTTACATTTTAAACACCTTAGGCATGAAATGTGTGTTTCACCTTTAAAAAAATAGCAATCCTGGTATTTTGATGTGATGTTAAATTGTAAGTGTGCGAGTAAATACGTTAAGAATCGAATGGTATGTACATAAATGCCACTTAAATATATTATGTTCGACCATAAGAAATATTTGTTTTTTATTGGATTCAGATTGGTTTTTCTGTATCATTAAGTAATTTACATCTATCCTGTAAATAAAATTTATTTCTTTGTTTCTCTGTCTCCCAATGTTTTTATGGTGCAGAATATTGGCTTATAAAAAAGAAAGCATAAAATTAAGTTAAGTGTTGTTGAGATGGGAATGCTTAGGTGGATGAGTAACTTTACAGTCAAGAGACGAAATGCAAAACAAATATAGACGCGAGAAGGTTGGTGTTGCTCTAGTGGCGGATAAGAGTAGAGAGTTGTCTTAGATGGTTTGGTCACATTAAATGTCTACCATGATTCGGTTATGAGATTAGATGTTTTAGATTTGACTTATATTTAAAAGGGAGGTAGACTTGAAAGAAGATTTGGACATGTTGGTATAAAAAATGATCTGAATTTACTAAAATTAAATGAAATATGACACTCGTTATGACAATGAAGAAAAAAAGTTTATATAGTTGGCCCCACTTGGTGGGAGAAAGGCTCCTCTTTTTTTTTTTGTGATCCAAGAAATAAAATGGGATTGAGATCCCAATATGATATCCAAAGAAAGTCTAGGTTTTAAGTTTTTAAGTGCCGATAAAAAATAGCACAAAATACTCTTATATTTCGACAACTGTAGTTTCTTCGTCCTGTCTTTTAACAGTAATTTAAGTTCGGCTTTTCATATCTCCTAAATGATGAAAGAATGAATCTAAGGTTTTTAACAGATTATCATCTATTTAAATGATAAAATATTTAAATTGACACTAATTTTCACTTATTTTGTTGAGTAGAAATTGATTTAAAAAAAAAAAATCTTTTAATGTTCAAATAATATTTGATCAATATTTGAACATAATTTGTACATGGACCTGAAACCTTATTACTATATGATTCAAATTTTGTTCTATTCTTAAACAAATATTGATCATGATTGACTGTTTAAAAATATTGTTAATGAGAAAAAATTACATGTGGTGGACCGCACGATCCTTTCATCTATTCGCCCGTTCAGACCGTCGTCCGAATTTGCTGTCACCACACGTAATATTCGCATTTGATTAAAACACAATTATTTCAATCATTAATAGACTTAGATTATATTTTCTGCAGCCATATCTTCGGATATGTTCCTCCAATTTACGACGGTCAAATCTCTCTTCTTTTAATCACAATTTTAATTTTAAATAAATTTGGAACGAAATAGGGCAAGAGGGAACAAAAGTAAGAACATATAGTCCAAAACCGAATAAAAGTAAAGGTAAATAACAAGAGAAAGCCTCTTTGTTTCAATTAAAACATGAAAACAGTAATATACTTTCATACAATGAGAGCAGCAAAAACAAAATAAGCGAAGTGAACCAACCTAACCGCTAACAATATTTATTTATAATGATAAAACAGCAAGGAACTACATAACAAGTCGTTTTCTCCCCCAACTTCATTACCATCCTTCTAATTAAATGCGCCAAAACCCAGCAATTTTCTATATTTCTTCACCATCCCTCTGACATTTCTCCTCCTAGTGCTTGTTTCCCCTTTCTCCTAATTCTGCTCAGAAATCATTGCCTTCAGTTCAGTCGATCGTCATCGGCTGAGTCATGCAACATCTGAAACGTGCACGGCGAACAGAAGTGGCCAATTCAGCTTGAACATTTTCGAGCAATTTTACAATGTCTGCAAAGGGAGGACGAACATCGGGGTTCGCATTCCAGCAACGGGTCATGATCTCGCCAAGCGCTGGGGGGCACTCGCTTGGTATGATCGGACGAGCTCCCCTGTTGACGACGGCAAAAGCAGCCTGCACAGCTGTCATGTTCTGGAATGGGAGCATTCCTGTTATGAGCTCCCACAGCACAATACCAAAACTATAGACATCAACCTTCTGCGTGTAAGGTCTGTGCTGTATCATCTCTCTGTTTATTTGATTCAAATTTTCAATTAAATTTGAAAAAATACGGAAGCAGAACAGAAGTGCTGATTGAAGTAATAGTCACAGAATTCAAATGATTCAATGAAACAGGATTGCAGGAATAGTGCGAAAAATTCAGATTTCTACTGAAAATTTAACAAACGAATCAAACCTGTGGGGTAGAGAAATAAAATACAACAAATACGCAGACACAATTACACAAATATTTTACGAGCTTCTTATCAGCAAGAAATACTTTCTCATAATTGAAAATAAAGTAATTTATCATACTTTTTTGTCTGACAAAAAAAATGAAAAAATACACCTGAGTCAAATATTTATGATGTCATTGAAATATCAGCACTGAGGATCAATGGAGCCCGAATGACTTCTTTAATCATCACAAATTCTTCTTTCTAAATTTTTTATTGTTCATATTTGTTCTGGAAATATTTCATCATGTCTTGACTTTTCATAATGGTAGTACACCAAAAAATGATCTTAAAATTTGTTTCTATTGTGATAATAAATCTATTGGCTCCTGTTTCGTGATTTCGATCCACCTATTCCTTGACAATTGCTTCCATTTTAAGGCCTGCTCTACCAACATTCAATCAGAATGGCGTCTCTGATGTCATTTAATATCAATTTATTTGAATAATAAGAAGTACAAGAGAGTGTTACTACACCGTTCCAACTTTCAAGTAGTGATCAAAGAAGAAATGAGACATGAGTTTCATCATCAAATGATGTCTATAAAGCTTAATTCACTTCTGATTGAGATAAACTCATTCACGGGCTCAATAAAAATGTTTTCCTCCTAACATCCTAAGATTAAAAGATGATGCATATAACGATGCATATTATTGACAAAATAGTGCTTTTTGGACATGATAATGGCCGTATCACCCAAGTTATGATATTTATTAAGAACATCGAAACTGCCGCTCATAGTTAAAGACCGACCGATAACTCTAGCACTTGTTCGTCCCTCAACTCCCATTATTTTTTATCAATAACTAAAGGTTGATCGCTTGAAGGTTATAATCTGTTATTTGCATATTCTAATCGACAAAATTTTACATATCAAATTTGTCAGTTTTAATGTTTCTATCTTCATCGCTCAAAGTTTCGTGTAGCTTAATGAAAATTCTAATACTAAATGTTCGTTTAATAATAGCAAGTAAAATACACAAAGAAGAGAAATTAAATACAACAAATACACAAAAATAAGAACACGGTTTTCATGCAATTAGTTGGGATTCACCTCTCTCTATGCCACACAGAGAAATCAAATAATCCACTGAATCTCAAAAAGGTGTATGAAGAAATTATATATCATAAATAGTTTTAAAGTGCATTCATCTATTTCAAATACGAGAGATGGACATGGAGAATGTGCATCACTATGGACATTACTCTCTCTCTATTTCTCAAACTAACACCACCTTCAAGGAGTAAAAAACATCCCTTTTACAAAAATTAAAAAACTAATTCTTTTGTTCCTCTTTCTATTTGCTTGCGAATGTGGGATGCAAATCCTTCCTTTCAATGCTATATTTATAGTGTAATAAAAGAATGAGTTTGGAGATGAAATTTATTATAAAAATCCATAAGATATTATTGTCACTCAAAGTCAATTAAAGATGTTTTAAATTCACTTAAAGTCAATAAATAATCACTTTAAGAACACCAAAATATACTCATAGTCACAAAAGTAGATTAGTCCAAATGCAATGTACAATTAAAATGCACTAGTTCATAGTCAATATATTTTGAATTCGTAAGATTTGGGTGAATTCCAATGCATTGATGTGCAAACTTGGTGCCCGAGGCTCACCTTCATCGATAATTGTTGCCACCATCGACAATTGTCGGCCGTCGCCACCACCATTAGCTGCAGGCTTGTTATTGACAACCGCCACCCATTCCACTCTCAATAGCCCACCAACAACCTCCGGCCACCCATTGAGCTCAGGCCACCTCCACCACCGACACCCGCCATTGCTGCCAGCCACAACTTAGCCATCATGCGTAGCTTGATATTGCTATCCGCTATTGACTGCCGCCACATACTTTATATGATTTTGTTTTCTTCAAACCAAAAAAGAAAATATAAAATTCTATATTTAATTTACACTGAACCAAAAATTTCAAAATATTTTAAATATAATACATTAGTTTTACAGAACATTCCTTTTTCAACAAACCAAACAACGCCTCGGTTATATATATAACTCGCTCTTATTAGTTGATAAATTTTTGAGAAATTCAAGATTCTCAATCTTAATCTAATGAAAATATTAGCACCATAATGGATAGATATTTAAAAATTTTACATGCAACCACCTCTTTTTATAAGCATTGAAGGGTCTATTGATGATAAGAATTGATTAATGCATATTGAAAAGATGATTCATGACATGCTCTGCCTGAAGAGGAAGATAACACTTGTTACATTTGTATTAGGAAATGAGGAGAGAAAATAGCGAGCATTGTGTGTGGAGCCTGATGGGGCTAGAAGTGTCCTATAGCAAAACAACATCCAAGGGTGGAAGTATGGTGTCAGAAATGGAAGCAGAAGTCTAGTGTCAACAGTGGATGTCAAGTGCCATACTTGGACCCCTAGCTCCAGGAGGGACACCAAGGCACCGACGATCAGAACGCCTAAAAACCTGACGCCTAGGCTCCTAGAACCTTCAATTGGTACCCGAGAGATTGGAATTCTAGTGCCAGGGAGTGGAGTAGCTGTGCGGTGGTATTTTTGTTTCTAATTTCGAAACAAAGACACCGGAAACTCGGCGCTCGGGACGGACAATCCAGCACCCAGAAGATGACTCCAAACAAAAATGCGAAAAGGCAACGCTCGAGAGCGGTGCTCCAACGCCAATCAAAGTTTCTCTTCCGACCAGGATTTAAGTCATTGACTTCTAGACAACGAAGATATATATTGATAGCACATGTAAAATAAGTGGAATTGAACAAGCGGTGCAGTAAGTTCTGTGTTGGAATTTTGCGGTTTACACTTGTGCAATCAAGAGAGGAGCGTTCATGAGTTCCAGGATGGTAGAGATGAACTTTGAGTGTGGTGTAATGTGTATGTTCTCCTCATTTTATAATGGAATTTTTGGTGTAGTGTGGCTACGTATTTTTTCCTCATTATAGGATTTTTACACGTTAAATCTTGTGCACTTTTCTAAATTGTCTGCGTTGTGTGCTTTTGTTCAATTCTTATTGTGGATATCTCAAATTAGTGTGTTTTTTTTGTAGTGTGATTTGATTATGAATTGACCGGTTTCTCCATCCCAACAAGTGGTATTAGAGCATAATTTTTTTTGAAGATCTTTGATTTGAGAGGGAGCAATAACCGACCAAGTAAGGTATAAAATGGAGAAGTTCAACTGTGCTAACTTTGCATTTTGGAAAATCCAAGCTAAAGATTGTCTGTATCAAAAGTAATTGTATCTACCACTAGAAGAAAACACAAAAAAAACATCAATATGACTCTGGAAGAATGAGAAGCGCTATATCAAATAATATTAGTTTTGATCTGTCCATCAATTTCCTCGTATGTCGCTTTCACAACTTTTCATGAGAAAATTACAATGGATCTCATGACGGCAATGACAAGGATGTATGAGAAGTCTTTCAACTTCAAATAAGATTTTTATGATGAAGAGATTATTCAACATAAAAATGGTGGAAGGGAGTTTGGTGTTTGAACATTTGAATAATTTTAATAACGTGACAAATTAGTCGGGTTCTGTGGGCATCAAGTTCGATGACAAGATCAAAACAATGTTAATTCGATCTCCATTGTCAGACAGTTAGGATGAACTAGTTACGACAGTAACTTTTCAAGTAATACAAAGTTAAATTTTGATTATATCAAGGGGTTTCGTAAAAAAACGAACAGTGAAACTTCAAATTCTCCGTTGAAGAGGAAGAAATCTGGATAGCAAAATAGACAGACAGATTCAAGTACAAGAGAGAAAAGTTCAGATCAATAAGAAAAAATGACGAAGGGTGACTGATAGAATTGCGGGAAAAAATATCATTTCAAGAACTATGAAGCTCCGAAGAAGGATGATGGTGGAGGCCAAGAAAGACATCTCTCTAAAAATGTCTTCACAAGTCAAATCCAAGGTGACTCCTTAATTTTATCCCTAGATAATATTAAAACTTGGATAGTAGATTCAAGTATCCCTTTTCATGCTTGCCCCAACAAAAAGATGTTTAAAAACTACACACAAAGTGATCTAGAGAACTTGTATTTAAGAGATAACAAAACCTACAGTATTGTTGCAAATCATGATGTTCATATTAGATTGTCAAATGAAATAATCAAGAAGTTTAGCGAAGGTAGTTATGTTTTAAATTTGAAGATAAATTTAATCTCAGTGAGTCAGCTTGAACGACCAGGGTATGTGACTACTTTCACATTTGATTCACAAAAGGTTACTAGGGTAATGGTGATAGCTTAGGGTAACATTGAAAGCACTCTTTATCAAACCAATGAGAGAAAAATCCATTCATGTAGTTAGAATAAAAGTTGATGCAAGCTTTTGACATAGCAGACTTGGCCATATGAGCGAGAAATGTATGCAATCCATACTTTCTAAAAATAAGCTTCAGGGTTTAACATCTATAAATCTATATTTTTTATGAAGGTTGTGTATATGTCAAGCAAAAAAAAAACTTTTTTCTCCAAAAGTAGGTCAATGGTGAAGTTCAAGAAACTGGAGTTAGTGTATAATGATGTATGAGGTCTTACTCTAGTTCAGTTTATTAATATTCCCACCATTTTGTCAATTTTATACCTAATCACATTACAAATGTATGAGTTTACTTTTAAACACACAAATCTGATTTATTTGGGGTGTTTAAGAAGTGGAAGGTAATGTTTGAAAATGAGACAATTTCGGGATTGAAGTGTCTCAGATCAGATAATGGTGACGAGTATCGTGATCAGAGATATTCATAAGTTATTGTGCTTCATAAGAG